TCTAAAACTAATAATCACTAATTTTAACATTTATATATTCAGATTTCTTAGTTTATAAAATTGATCAAGATGGAGCTATTGTTAATACTGATATACCAAAGGACACCAATGCTGATAAAAACCTCTTAAGACATCTAACAATGGTATAATGGTACTATAGTATTTATTAGGTTCTTTAATCTTCATTATTATATCAGTTTATATTTTTATAATTGATCAGCAAACCATATTTTAAAGGTTATTCCAACCGACCAAATATTTCACAAAATGAAATTATTACTTGATGATGAAATTACTGAGAAGGTTGGAACATTGAATACAGAAAGATGAGATCCCTCATTTGTTGATACGAAAGTATATATAAGTATTTTTAACAAATGTCATTCATAAAAAAATAATAACTTGGCTATCTGTGTGTGTTTAACTTATTGTCCAATTAACCTTAAAGCTGGAAAAAGACAAAGATAAATGAAGAAACATTTCGGTGATAAATTAAATACTGAAACTAAAGAGGGAGTATACTTCAAAGACTTGAAATGGTATAGGGATGTTAATGGCTTGTTTAAAGCCAGCTCAGCCATGGTTTTGCAGCCAAGCCATTTAAAGCCAGACTAGCCGGCTTAATATATCAATATTGCATTATTAAAATATCATAGAGCCATAGCTTTGAACTACAGCTTGAGCTATAGTTTAAACCACAGCTAAAAACCGGTTTATAAAATTTGATTGAGTCAAAAAAATAATTAACTACACAATATGCTTTGTATTTTAAATTTTGTTGTATCGGTATGACTAAATTCCAAATATTGAAAAAAAATAGTTGAAAAAAAATAATTGAACAAATTTTAACTAGCAAATAATTGTGCATTGTATTTTTATTAAAGATTAAGATATTTATTTTTTAAAGTTTTTTTTAAAAAATTTATTAAACATTTTAGCCAGCTTCAGTCCATAGTTTAAAACTATGGCTTAAACTATAGTTATTAAGCCATGGCTTTTTGAGCTGAGCTTAGCCAAGCCAGCCATTAACATCTCTAAAATGGTATATATATAATTATAAGCTATCATATAGCGGGTCATGATTACTGATGCACATTTGTACAACTGTATCTGTTTTTTATCAATCGGTAGTTGTTACTATCAGATAATATTAAATAGGTAATATGGTATTAGTTAAACATTATAAATCAAATTTGGTTTCTTCTTTAAGTAGTATTATTTAAATTCATAAGTAGAATTCTTTAGCATTAGTTATTATTAGTTTTAGAGTACAATTTAAAAAAGAAAATTATAACAAATTGATTAAAAAATTGGTTATAATAATATTTCTCATTAGAGTAACCTTGAATTGATATTTATTTCATAATTTGTAAACCGTAGAAACAAAAAACATGAACTTGACTAGTGGAAGTTTTTGTTCTATATAAGGAGAACTGAGATACTATAGAAGCGATTAACTTATATTGCAAGAGAATGAAGTAAAGCTTTTTCTCACATTTAAAATAATAATTTATAATTTATTTTGTTTTATTCATATTAAAGATGGAGACTTGTTATTGCCACCCCCATTTTTGTTAATACCACCTTCCAAAATTTAAAAAAGTGCTCTAGAAGAGGTATTTTTATTAAGTAAATCCTTATTTTGATTCTAATAACAGTTGTTCATCAGGCTTTTCCGGTTCTAATAGTAGTAAAATCATTAAAATCAGGCTAGTAGTTCTTTTTTAAAAGTAGATAAATTTTAGCTAAATTCAGATATATATATCTTAGGAATTACTGGTTTGATTTTAATGATTTTACAATCATTAGAACCGGAATGGCCTGATGAACAACTTTTATTAAGGTTAAAATAAGGGATTTACTTAATAAAAATACCTTTTCCGGAGCACTTTTTGATATTTGGAGGTGGCAATAACAAGTCTCTAAAGGTATTACTTATAAATTATGTCTCTTAAATTGCAGAGTTATTCTCGTGTATTTTTGTATACAAGAACAAAAGATCATTGCACAGCCTCTATGATCAAGTTTATAATATGAAGTTAGGAAATTTTGAGTAAGAAAATATTTATAAAATAGATTTTCCAAAGTAATATCATATTATAAATAATGAATCTTACTTATTTATATTTTAGGTATATTAAAAAAGAATTTTTTTTTTTTTTTTTTTTTTTTGTTTTTTTTAGGGTTGTTTTT